CACCGGATGACTGTATCCTTCCAGCCGAGGTTGGTGGTGTCTGGGAGCTCCGTGGGATGGTGGAACGTCGTCCCGATCCGGAACAGCGTCGCGAGGGTTTCACCCTCGAGGGAGCTGGCGAGGGCGAGCGGCACAAACGCCCTCGCGAAGACGACGGGGTCTGGGCTCGCTTGAGCCACTGAGATGAACATTAACCGCTCCTCCATATGGGGACGTGGAGGAGCGCACGGAAAAAAAGGGCAAAACAAAAACTTACAAAAACCGGAAATCAAACACGGGGAAGGGATGCCGCTTACTGTTCGGTCCGCTGTTCTGTCACGTTGCACACACACGAGGAACGAGGAGACGCTGGAGAATATGTTGACAAGACTTTATTTGCACCAAGGAACCAAGGGAGACGAACACAGGAAGACGTTCAACAGCGGACAGAGAACTAGGGACTGGGAACACTTTAAATACACACAGGAGGAGGGGATGACGAGACACACCTGGGAGCAATGAAACATCAAGGGAAACACCTGGGACAAATTAACTAAACTAATCAGGACAGGAACAGGAAACTAACCAAATAAGGGCATGGGAAGGCACGTGGGGAGCAGGACACACACAAAACATGGAACAGAGTCTGACATATTCATTATTAATGACATTCATTATTAATAACATTCATGATTACCATTCGTTATTCAATGATATTGCATCACACCATTCAAAGGTTTGGGGTCGGTAAGGGTTTTTTGTGTTTTTGAGTCTCTGCCGCTCACCTAGACTGCGTTTATAGAAAAACAGTCATATTATGGAAATGTTATTACAATTGACAATAATGTGCATATATTTTGAAATGTAGTTTATTTCTGTGATGGTAATGCATTTTCAGCATCATTACTCCAGTCTTCAGTGTCACATGATCCCAGTCTAATATTCTGATTCACTCAAGAAACATTTTTTATCAACATTGCTGAAAACATTGTTGTGCTGCTTGATATTTTAGTGAAAACATGACACATTTTTTCTGAATTCTTTGATAAATAGCTAGAGTTCAAAAGCATCTATTTGAAATAGAAATCTTTGTTAACATTATAAATGTCTTTACTCTCATTTATGATCAATTTAAGGCATGAATGCTTAATAAAAGTATGGAAAAAAAAAACGTACTGACCCCCAAATTTTGAACGGTAGTGTATGCATCATTAGATATCTTTGGATTGTATTAGTTTGATTTTAATTTATTTCATTTTAACTTCTCACTGTTGCATCAGCTTATGCAGCTTATAATCATAAACACTGAATTCAATTACTTGTGATGTTAAAATTAGTTTTCAAACTCATAAGTCTCGCAAACAAAGACCACAATGCACTATGTGTTATGTAGTAAGTTACGTCACTACACCATTTTGGTGGAAAATGAAGTATAGGTAAATTTTTTTGTAATATGTAATTTATCACATCTCATGTCACACTGGGCCATTTTAGCATCTGGTTTTATCCAAGGCAGCAGTCACTACACATTACAGGAACAGTGCCACTGGAGTAATCTAGAGTTAAGTGACCAGCAGCCTTAGTTTTTGCCAGGATGCCATTTTCAGTAAGCTTTACTAGTGTCAGATGAAGGTGTGTGTATTTATAACTCACTTTCCACATACCTTCAATGTGAGGTTCAGGAGTTTATTAAATAATTCAGATCCCCCGCAGGAGGGTGTGTGTGTGTGTCTGCAGGCGAGCTCTTTGTCTCCTGTGTGATGCATGAAGACCTGGGCTCAGTGATCGGTTGCAAACGGTGTCTGCAGTGCAGGTGCAGGAGAGATAAATGATAAGAAAGGAAAAAACAAGCAATTCATTCCAACAGAAACCTCCACTAGTTAGCAGCCTCTCACCCGAGAGTCTACTGCAGACAGTTTCTCTTTAATAATGTGTCATTTTTATCCTAGTCTCCCAAGTCTTATCATGTAACATTTCTACAAAGGTTTATTTACAGTGCACAGATGTGGGGACGTTATCCAAAAATCCTCCTCTGCTTCCTGCAGTCACCTGGTCTGCCTGAGGCTTTATCATATGTTGGCTTTATTTGACTCCCTCTCGGTTCATGCTGTCATTCTTTTTGAACACTGCTTGATTGTCTTTACATCCTCACAGCTCTCTTTGTTGTCCTACAAGCTTATTACCCAGCTTTCTCTCTAACCTCAGCTGCATCTGTTTCCTTCACGGCTCATTCTCTTGTCTCGTGTTTATGTCTACTGTCGTTGATTGGTTTGCCATCGTCATGTGGTCACTGCTCGCTTATCCAGCCCTCAGTGCATCCTCTGAAGCGCAGCCTGCAACCAACTTTCAATCTGGTATATTCATCTTACACCCATTTTTGTGTCTTTTTTTAATATTGTTTGCTGATTTGTTAATTTCTAATAGCTCATTTGCATATAGTTTATGTTTTGGGTGAAAGTGTTAGTGCTGCAAGAAACCAGCCACAATTTCTGTGTAAACTAATCAACATCTTAGAAGTGAAATGACACTTGAATAAATTTGTAGTCTGGGTTCTAGAAGTATTTTCTCCACAGGAACTTAAGAAACTTTGAACCAAACCAACTAGCTCAGAGAGGAATCGCTATCATTTGATTACATTTTGAAAATCGGAAAAAAGACAGACGCAAGAATGTATTTAAAATCTTTAATAAAGATGCAAAATAAGTTTATATGAGTACCATATTGGCTATCATCCAATAATAGTTCTTTATGTATTAGTTAAAGGGGTCATATGATGCGATTTCAAGTTTTCCTTTCTCTTTGGAGTGTTACAAGCTGTTCGTGAATAGATAATATTTAATTGTTCATGCTCATTTCTTCTATTTTTACATTTAGATGACCTTTGCCTTCATCTAACACTTACTTAAAATTAACGCTGTTAAATGTAATCTTTAGCAAATTTCAAAATAAATATTCATTTTAATACTGTACTTTATAATGTGATGCAAATTCAAATTGTAGCATTTCAAATGATTGATTTTAGTTATTAATATTTATTTTTAATTTATTTAGAAAAACTGTTATATCAGCGTTTTAGAGGTTAAATATGCCATTACATGAAAATAGTTTTCAGCTCGTAAGTATTGGCCAGAAATGTCATATCCAGTCTTGTTTTTAATGAGGGATTAATTAATACTCATCCCATTATTTACTAGGAAAGGATGTTTTCTTTGAAAATGGAAAATCTGTCATCATTTACTCAGCCTCATGTCATTCCAAACCTTTATTTCTTCTGTGGAACAGAATGTTGGTGACCATTGACTTTCATTGTATGGACAAAAAACACTTGGGACATTTCTCAAAAAATGCTCCACAGAAGAAAGAAAGCCATTTAGGTTTGGAATGACATGAGGATGAGTGATTGATGAACTTTTTTATGCATTTTCTAATTAGAAAACTTATTTTCCGCTCTTACACTACAACATCTATTAATAACTAACAAGGTAAGGCTAGGTAGGCTACGTAATAATATAGATACAAAAAAAATGATGTTGTGGAGTTTGCAGTTCTCATTGCCATGGAAACAACCTTCAGATTGGTGAATCTCACTATGGAATTGTGGGTAGTGCCATACCCCATCTGTAATTAATTTGGCAGTTAAGCAATTGTTTTCAGTGAAGTTTAAATCACTGGCTTATGCAATCTACAGAAACATACATCAACCTCTTAATAACCTTAGAGCTCATAGGTGGTCTTTATTAAAAGGTTTATGCATTGTTTAATATCAGATCTGGATTGAGATTTTTACTTCAGGAACCGACTGTTGAGGTCTATACAGTACAGCACATTATTATTGGGTTTTGGGATTGAGTTCACTCATGTAAATCATGAGGTCGGACTGCTCCCCCATCATCCCTCGGTTAGTGAATCACAGATATCCTCTTTCCTGCTGACCTTGCTCTTATCATGTTGCATATCAGTCTTCAGACAGAATTACACAGTGGAAGACAGCCGTACATCCTCCTTTTTATGCCTTCATCTAGACTGAGCATTCTGTGTTTAATTATCAGAGGCAGATAAGGACGCCTCACCTCAATTTCTCTTTCTGATATCGCTCTTCCTCATGCAAGGCTGCATGTGTCTGACGCCGCTTTTAGAAAAATGGAGAAGCAGACCCAAATATTTGCCAGAGAAGAAGCACAGCATACCATTATATATATATATTCACTTTGTGTTAAAACTAGTCAGTCAACAAGATTCAGTTTGGACGGTTTATTTTTTATTTTGATAGAATAGGAGTTGATGAGTATACAAGAGATCAGCACTAGCTGTCACAAACTAGCTGAGGAAATCTGTGTAATTAAACTTTAAATACTGTTAAATAATCCTAGTCACATTACATTTCTAAAAATATGTATACACACACACATTACATTCCTAAGAGAAAATGAAATATCGTTACACTTTATATAGCTGTTTTCTATTTGCAAATATTTTAAAATGTGACTTATTCCTGAATTTTCAGCAGACATTGCATCAGTCACATGATCCCTCAGAAATCATTATAATATGCTGATTTGCTGCTCAAGAAACATTTCTTATTATCAAGGTTTAAAACAGTTACCATTTAATATTTTTGTGGAAACTATATAGAATAGAAATATACAGTTGTGGTCAATGTGGACCGTTTTTCTCCAATAAACGTTGGCCACAATTATTAGCACCCGTTCATATTCCCATTCATATTTATTTTGGCACACCAGGGTGACTACAAACAAGAAATTGTCCAGCCATGACATATATATATATTAAAAAAAAAATAATAATAAAATAAAATAAAAAAGTATAAATATGAGGAACACACTGGTAAAAAAAAAAAAAAAGTACCCAATGTCCACGGTTAAATATTCTGCTGGATCTTTAAAGTTGTGCCTACTTTTCTAACAGAGGTTCTGAACATCTTGTTCAGATATTGGAATCATGGATTCTATCAGATACCAATAGATAAAAAAAAATAAATAAAAATCAAATCCTGACGGTCTCTGCTAGAAATCTTATAATAGGTTGAGGTTAGATCATCCATCAGGACAATGATCCAAAACTAAGCACAACTGGGTCACGGAGCACAAAATAATCGTGCTGCCATGGCCACCAGTCCTCTGATCTGAACCCTATAGAAAATTACTGTGAACTGAAGAGGAGGGTGTACTAACATGAACCTTGAAGGATATGGAGAGCTTTTGCATAAAAGAATGGTCTCTGATCTCTTGCCAGATGTTCTCCAAATTCCTCAGGCATTAAAGGAGAAGACTCTTATTGTCACGCGGTCGTGGTTGTAGTAAAGCACTCAAAGTAGAAGTAAAGGGGTTTTTAATAAGCATCAACTCACTAAGACCATTCAAAATAACATTAATCCAAGACAAAGAAATTAACAGAAACTGAGGGCTTATGAAGACAGGAAACCTAAGGAGCAAACGAGATGATTAACACAACACAGGTGATCTAAATGAACGAAGATTAACTAATTACGGAAACAGGAATTAGACCAAATTGGGGCAAACGGAAACACACACGTGACACTTATATTGCTCTTATTTCAGCAAATGGATATTGCAAAAAAATATTAAATAAAATGAGGCCAATAATTGTGACCAAAATGGATTGGAGAAAAACGTTTATTTCATAATGAAATTTTCCCCCACTTTAAATTGTTTTGCATCAATTAAAGGTTAGATTTTTATGAATATTTTGAATGAAAGATCAAAAGAATAAACAAGGCAGATTTATTTTCTCAACCTTCTTTGAAAATATTTATCAAGCTCATAACTATATATATGATTATATATTGGCAGCAGTGTTGGGGAAAGTTACTTTTTAAAAGTAATGCATTACAATATTGCGCTACTCCTTAAAAAAGTAACTAATTGCGTTACTTCGTTACTCTTTATGGAAAGTAATGCATTACATTACTTTTGCGTTACTTTTTGTCACCTGGGCTGGGCTTGCTTACTTGTTTTTTAATAACAAAATACCCAAAAGTTATATTTTTGGCAACTGTAAAGACCCTTTTACACCAAAAGTGAAATTAATAAGCCTCACGCTGAAGGAAGTGCCTCTGCACCTCACTCACAATTTCACTGCAGGAGAGGTGTCAGTAAATAAATTGTAAAACAAAGTAACTTATTTGAAAAAGTAATTTAGATATTTCATTGTAAATTTAAAAGTAATGTGCTACTTTACTAGTTACTTGAAAAAAGTAATCTGGTTACGTAATTCACGGTAGTTGTAATGCGTTACCCCCAACACTGTTTGGTAGTATGTACACTCGGTACTGTTTAAAAGTTTGAACTTCACACACACACACACACACATGTCTGGTTTGCTATCCTTGTGGGGACTCTCCATAGGCGTAATGGTTTTTCTACTGTACAGACCGTATTTTCTATTGCCCTACACCTAAACCTACCCCTTACAGGAAACTTTCTGCATTTTTAGATTTAAAAAAAATAATAATTCTGTGTGATTTATTAGCCTGTTTACCCGTGGACCCCAATTTAGGTCCCCACCATGACATGAGTCCCCATGAGTCTGTGTGTATTCAGGTTTAAGTCCCCACCAGAATAGAAAAACAGGTACACACACACACACGTCTGGTTCACTATCCTTGTGGGGACTCCCCATAGGCGTAATGGTTTTTATACTGTACAAATTGTATTTTCTATCGCCCTACACCAACCCTACACCTAAACCTACCCCTTACAGGAAACTTTCTGCATTTTTACAATCTTAAAAAAAAACTCATTCTGTATGATTTATAAGCTTCTGTACCCATGGGGACTTCAATTTATGTCCCCACAGTGACACAAGTCCCCATGAGTTGGTGTGTATTCAGATTTAAGTCCCCACCAGTATAGAAAAAATTATTTATACGTTTTTCTGATGCATCCTAAAAGTAGTCAAATACATCTCCATCAATGTTTTGATAATGTTTTATTATTTTATTTATAAAACATGATTTGCAACATTTACAATGACAAATACACAGTATGTCAGATGTATTTTCATGAATGGACAGGAACACACACGGTACAAAATTTCCTGTAGCTCAGTATCATGGCTATCTTTTATGTCTTCCTCTGCCCACCATCTTTCTTTTTCTTTTTGTTTTTTCCTCTTTCTTCTTTGTCATCCCGATCACTTTAGGCTCTGCCACCAGGAGCCATGCAACAGCTACCAAAGAGACCGACCCTGGAGAAGACTAACGGCGCGACTGCCGTCTTCAACCCCAGCATGTTCCACTACCAGCAGGCTTTGGCCAGCATGCAGCTGCAGCAGCCAGCGTTCATTCCCACAGGTGAGCTCACGCAGACAGATGATTCCCCCTGAGCTGCGCTCTAATATCACCATATTCCTGTAATAGTTTGGCTTGCATACATACAGCACTTTAAAGACAAAGTGCCTGGCTAGACAAGGACTTGAGCACTTTTCTGCTTGCCATCTCTCTCCCTGTAGGCCCACTTGCTCTCTTTATCTCATAGTAGTCCACCCTATGCACATGTCATGCTAATTAGTCCCATGATGCATACAGTCCTGCGTCTCCTCATGCACCTGCACCTGAGCATTAGCTACTCTTTTTCTGATGCTGCACTGCACTATGTTCACTATTCTCACATAATCAGTAAAAAAAAGCTAGATTGTATTTTGCCTAAATGACTGTAGCAGCGACCCTTCGGCCTTAAAAAGAGGATAGTTGCAGTACGTTTGCCACCCAGTTTTAAAGACCCGGTGAAATCAAAGTAGGAGCTCTGTGGCTTTTAATCCAAGTCTATAGAGTGCTGCAGTGATTGACATATTCATATTTATGTAGGTCAACCTGTAAGTTAGCATCACCCTGGTTCCCTTGACACAAGCTCAATAGGATTTTTCAATTGGTTTTGGAATATTGCAGAAAATAAGCTCTGTGACCAACAATGGTATAGGATCCTTGTTCATCATGATAATCATCAGAAATTAACGCAGCTTTGATGAATTTTGAAGTGTAAATACAATCACCAGAACTGAAAAGCTAAACACATGCTATAAAAGAACTGCATCACAGTCACATGACTTCAATGTCACTACCATTAAGCTTAAGGTTGAATAGCTACCATGTGCGTGGTTATTAACAAAATCCGGTTGTAAAAGCAGATTAGTGAGTAGATGATTTTACCTGTTCGTTGTGATGACGTTTAATGTCCCAAACAACCTCTGTATTAAAAGCTGTTGGAAAGTAAAAGCTTTAAATAAAGCTCAAGGGGCTTTATCCGACATATTGTATGTCATAGAATAAAACTTAAAATATCTTGAGCTTGTGTTAATCACAGACCTTATTTAACAAAAAAAATGTAATTAAAAAAAAAACAAACATTAAATTCAGGACGATGGAACTGGATGTGCTAAAATGCTAAGTAGTTTCTGGGTTTTGGCCTACAAAAATATGTCATCCCTGCAGCACTCGATTACTTTTAAGACTAGCTACATGCTAGTGCTTCCTATAAGATGACAAAACTAACAGATCTCTTCAAATTACAGATCTTTTAAAATTAACAGTCTTTCTCTTCTGTGAAAATGGAAAAAAAAAAATTTGATGACTCATTTTGTACTACACAGATTTTTTTCCAATAAGATGCTCCCTAGGCTGAAAATATTCCTCTGATTCCACCTGCCATTGACTAACATTACAGTGTAGCAAATAATGTTTCACAGCTGTGACGTAAACTACGTTATATTGGCAGTATAAAAAATACCCCACCCAAACATTTTGTTTCAGTAGCAAATACATCAACACAGGAAAGAAAACCTCCATTTCATGAGTCTTTATAGGCAACATGAAATCAAAATAGGCCCTTTTTTAAATAAAGGTTTTGTGCTTGATTATGCAGTGCATGTTATTTTAAAGCAAGAAAATAGTTTTCTCTGTTGCTTTTTACTATTGACATAACAGTAGATGTATCATAGCCTAACTAATAAATTTTTGCCCCTTCCTAATCTTCCTAATTCAATCAAATCCTGATGGATGAAATGAAGCCCAATCCTAGATTTTATCCTGCTGAATTTTCTGTTTAACTACAATATAAGGCACATTTCGAAATGTAAATGTGTTGTGAATGCTGTTGCAAAAATCAAACCGAACTTGTTAGCATTAGGCTCAGATGACAAGACAAGAAAGCGTATCAGCACAACAACAAATTGGCATCCAGATTAACATCCCCTTCCTGATGAGGACCTTTCCACCAGCATGATTCATTTCCTCTTGGTTTCTCCCTGCTTTGTGTCCTTGTCTCCATCTCGCCACCATGTTGCCCATAATGACGGTCATCGCTCTTTCACTGTGTGTCACTAACTCTAAAGTTGTTTTGTCTTGTTCTCATTCTGCTTCCACTCCTCCATCCTCCTCGGTCTCTCTTCTCCTGGGCTCTTTGTGCATGGTGTTGCAGGCTCCGTATTCTGCATGGCTCCATCTGGAGGCATTGGTAGGTCACTTCCCAGTCTTTCTGGATCAGCGGTTACCTTACAGCAACATCTCAGATATGTGACAGACAGGAAGGTGATCCACGATATTAACTCCCAGCAGCCCCAGCCATGTATCATGGGGTGTTTCTTCAGCTGTGGACACTTTTGTTTTGTTTAGATTTTTGTTTTGGTTAAGTTTGGCTTTTCTTTGGTTTGGTGTATTGTTTGGTTTAGTGTTTTGTTTTGGTTTGATTTGATTTGGTTTAGGTTGGTTTTTCTTTGGTTTGGTTTATTGTTTGGTTTGGTGTTTTGTTTTGGTTTGATTTGATTTGGTTTAGGTTGGTTTTTCTTTGGTTTGGTTTATTGTTTGGTTTGGTGTTTTGTTTTGGTTTGATTTGATTTGGTTTAGGTTGGGTTTTCTTTGGTTTGGTTCGGTTTGGTTTATTGTTTGGTTTGGTGTTTTGTTTTGGTTTGATTTGGTTTAGGTTGGGTTTTCTTTGGTTTGGTTCGGTTTGGTTTATTGTTTGGTTTGGTGTTTTGTTTTGGTTTGATTTGGTTTAGGTTGGGTTTTCTTTGGTTTGGTTCGGTTTGGTTTATTGTTTGGTTTGGTGTTTTGTTTTGGTTTGATTTGGTTTAGGTTGGGTTTTCTTTGGTTTGGTTCGGTTTGGTTTATTGTTTGGTTTGGTGTTTTGTTTTGGTTTGATTTGGTTTAGGTTGGGTTTTCTTTGGTTTGGTTCGGTTTGGTTTATTGTTTGGTTTGGTGTTTTGTTTTGGTTTGATTTGGTTTAGGTTGGGTTTTCTTTGGTTTGGTTCGGTTTGGTTTATTGTTTGGTTTGGTGTTTTGTTTTGGTTTGATTTGGTTTAGGTTGGTTTTTCTTTGGTTTGGTTCGGTTTGTTTATTGTTTGGTTTGGTGTTTTGTTTTGGTTTGATTTGGTTTAGGTTGGGTTTTCTTTGGTTTGGTTTGGTGTTTTGTTTTTTGTTTAAACTTACCATCCCTTCATTTTTTTCATGTTTTGTTTTGATTTTAGTTTTGTTTTGTTTTGTTTGATTGTTTGGTTTGGTTTGGTTTAGTTTAGTTTAGTTTAGTTTAGTTTAGTTTAGTTTAGTTTAGTTTAGTTTGGTTTAGTTTGATTTGGCATTGTTTAGTTTAGTGTAGTTAAGTTTAGTTTGGTGTAGTTTAGTTTAGTGTAGTTAATTTTATTTTGGTGTAGGGTAGGTTGGTGTAGTTTGATTTAGTTTAGTTTGATTTGGCATTGTTCTTTGGTTTGGTGTTTTGTTTTGGCTTGGCTTGGCTTGGTTTGGTTTGGTTTAGGTTGGGTTTTTTTTGGTTTGGTGTTTTGTTTTGTTTTTGTTAAAACTTACCATCCCTTAATTTTTGCTACTTTTCACATGTCTATTCTACATGTCTAGATTTCATTGTTTTACATTTGTCCCAGACCCATACATTCAATCCAAAACATGACATATCATCATAAAATGAAACAATATGAATTATTACATTTCACAATTGTGGTTAATCTAAACAAAGAAATAATATTATAAACCTTTATAAATATATTACCATAAACCATTTCCATTTCAATTCTAAATAATTGTGGAAATAATTATGAATCATTAACACATTATGACTGCATTGTTTACAGCTACTAATTAAATAAATAAAAGTAAGAAATAATAAAAAAGTAAAAAATTAAAAATTAAATCAAGTTAAATATCTCTTTTGAACAGAATATTTTTATTGTGTGGCATTTTTTAGTCTAGCTGCTGTTTTTTGAAATTATGCAATTAAATGCCAGCTGTAAAATTAACCTTAGCAAGACAAAGGCTTTGGCCACTTTATTTAAAAAATGTTTTAACATTTTATTTCCACCAAACAATGCTATTAAACACATTATGTAATTTGGGATATGATGGAAATGCTCGTGACTGAGGATAAAAAGACAAAAAAACGATGATGATTATGACTTAATTATTTAAATATCATAAACTGTTTTCATTTTAATTATTAATCAGATTATTTTTAAATAAAATTATTAATCAAATTTAATTATTAATCCAAAATATATATATCACTTGTGAAGAGAATATTTGTTTTGTGACTCTTTTTTGTGGTATATATAGTCTAGCAATTCATTTCTGTCATCTTCATTTTTTACCAAAGAATACTGTTAAACACATTGTTTGGGATGTGATGAAAATGCTCATGACTTTCAGGAGAAAGGACAAAAAAGTGCTCATAGTCAAAGAAACACCTTATAACATCAATACAAGACATATTTAATGTTCAGTATTGAAAATGACAAGGACAGCTTAACATGTGCACCTTGCACAGTCATTTTCCTCATTAGGTCTCAAACTATAATCCCAAACCTGTCCTGTCTGTCACTGCATTTACACCCAACCTGTCTGCTTTCACTGCTTCTTATCATTTGTTCGTTATTTCAGCTTGTCGTATGCGTTTGTGCATGCATGTGTGCGTGTGATTTTGTGTGCAGCTGACGGCACAGTGCGGGCACAAACAAGCAAGGCCAAAAGCCTTCAGAGAGACTCATTAAGACTGGTTCCTTTTTCTTTGTGCCCTTTCCTCCTCATCCTCTCCTTTCCCTCACTCCCTAAAATCTATTATAGGCCTTTTCAAACCCCCAGGCCTAATGACAGATGGCCGCTGGGAGAGGCGGGACTGGACCAGCTGCAGGGCCCCCCAAAGCCGTTACCTGTTAGGGCCTGGATATACTGGTGAGGGTAGAGTCTAGGTCCCCTCCCCTCACAAACACACACACACACTCACCATTTACCTGTTTAGAAAGGTAGAAATCACCCCTCAAGTTTCTGCTCACTTTTAGTGTTAATATTCCCAAACT